TATGTTCATCTTATGCGTAAATTATAAACAAAATCTGTTCTTGACAAATCGCCTCTTCATGAATTCAATTCGGCTATTCTCCTACAACGGGATACGAATTTTGTGAATATTCTAATAACCGAAAATGCTACAAATGAGTATTACCTAGCAATATCCTATGAAAAGTAGGAGGGTTGAAAGAAGCCGAAAATGGGCTGCCGATGAGTGATTTTATTATTTAATTTCAAAAACTAAACATGTGGCGCCATCTAGGTTATGCGTGCAGTGGTTATACTGATGTGCCACTTAAGTGTTGAACAACGAAAATATAATAACTATATATTATGTCGATATTTAGTGGTAGAGACATACTAACAGTGAACATCAATGGCTTAGTTATGATGCAAAAATCACGTCCACGGTCAATTGCAAAATACCGTTTCCATAGCTGAAACAGAAGAGTAACTCAAATTCATGAAAGAGGATGGTGCAGAATCTTCGATGAACTGTTAAGAAGTTTTCCAGTCATTACAATTTTGCCTTGTTTTACTTATTCACAATCTAATTCATAACTATTTGTTTCACCCATGCTGCAGAGTAAGATTCCTTTTCGACCCTGTAAAATCAATCATCTTTTAAACTTTTAGCTTAGAATAATGTATATGACGGAATGTAGAAGATTAATCATTTAAATAGAAGACTATTCAATGTTCAAAAATGCGATCAAAATTTAAACACTCTAATCGTCACATTTGCCCAAGATATTTAGATTTTGAATAAAGAGTTGAACAGTAATCTCAGGCTACATATTCAGTTTTTCAAGTTCGCTTACACACATATCTTCAGTTTTAATCATAAATGGCGCTTCCCGATCACAATCTCATTGCAAAAATGAGATTTGTTAAATTATGCGGTACGTATTCCGAAAGAATGTAAAGAAAAACGAAGCATTTTTTTGAACTTAACTTCAGTAAATAATTTACTGGATTAAACATACTTTTCTATTTATCAAATTTATTGTTAAAATGAATTAAGCCGTATACAAATAAGGCGAATACGTCACCACTGTCCATTCCGGAGCAAAACACACAACGATCTTTCATCTTATTATGATAAACCGCCTGCAGGGAAAGCTAAACTTAATAAATTTGTCCCCCCTTTGGGCTGACAGGCCCAATTGGAACTGGGTTCGTAGTTTGAATTTAGACGGATACAGTAATGTCAGATGGTATGATAGCAAATATATGTTGAACGATTAGGCACTTGGCAAAAAAATTAATTACACCGTTGGATCCTGGAGTGTTAATAACTCACCAGTGAAAATCAAGCTCAATTAATCCCATGCGTTTCTTCCCGTCAACTCATTTTTCACAGGTTTGTTCTGCTATTACGGCTTCTAGTAACTCATTTTGCCAGTTTCCCTCTCCGAATTATCTTCCTGGATTGGCACCGGCTGAAATGGTTCTTTTCGTTGCTATGTTTTGCCAGCGCCGAATCTTTATGGTCTGCTATGTTGAAGCAGGCCACATTTTCTCAAATCTTATTTCTCAGTTTTCTTCCAGTTCTTCTCATATCGATGTCGTAACGAACAAAATTTCAAAACAAATTAACTGGAAATGAGATTCCTTCAAAGGATTGCTCCTGTATGACATTCAATAAGGTTCCAAATGTGAAAATCTGATATGCCTTTATCTATGAACAGCTCTTTTACTAAATCAAGAGATCATAACCTCTACAGTTCGGATACGCTGTGATGATGCTAAAGGAGAGACTCGCAATCCGACTGTCATGACAAAGCTATATGGTGACCAATCAAGCAACTGATCTAGCAACAGATGTAACTCCATTATGTTAGAAACGCTGTTGCGTGTGGAAACGTGTCTGTGAACTTCATCTGATTAACGGAAGATGAGGCTCACTGCTTATCGCATTCACGACCTAAAAAGAATAGCGCACTTTCCACCTATATGTTGTGAGAACAGTTATGGTTCCGCTACGTATATAAATACGACGGACTGATCGCTGCAAGAACTTCGGTGCGATCAAAGTACATTTGCATTCATGCATCCATAAACTGCAAGTGATGACAAATTTTTTTAATGATCAATTTAAATATCGTGTTAAATATGTAAGAGCACAGTTTGGAAAAGTGAAGACTACGAAATTCGGATATCTGGAATATGAATGCATATGAATAGACGATATGCTTATTGGTAAACAATTTTGATTTTACTTTATTCAATTTAATAGTATAAAAACTGAAATTTATTGGCAGGCTCGAAAGTATTTTTGTTTCTGTTATTGTAAAAGAACGTTGCCGTTACCTCACTCATGTTACCGACGTTTGGACAATGACATGCACAGATGATCGGTATCGACTAATAGGAATGGCGCAGATAAAGATTTGTATTGTATGTTTATTGCTTTATATTCGGTTTTTTCAACTGTTAGACTGAGAAACAAACGTGGCCACACAGTAAAACAAATAAATGAAGTTTTCGAGTTGATCAGATCTTGATTTGAAAAAAATTTTTAATGACAAGCCTTGCAAATATTTCTAAATGTTCTATGCTTCGCTTAGTTCAACCGAAGTGCTATGAGTGTCTTATTTAATCTGAGTGTTTATACTGCTAGGCTGAAAATCATGATTATTTGATTGCCTTCCAGGCGCAATGAACTTGAAATTTCGATGAAAAATAGAATTGACATTCAGGTAAAATTAATGGACGACTGCAGGTTCGTTCGTTTTTAAAGAGTACTGTGTTAGGAATGTAGATGCG